GAAGACAAGAAATAAACACTTATCCTGTTTCCAGATGACACATACAAGGAGAGAGAGCTCATTCATCAGATGATCACATTGAGATCCAAACAGCTCTCAAAAGGAACCAGGATGGCCTGAAACCAAGAAAATAAGATTTAACAGTGATGCATTCTAGTCTTAAGTGTGAGCAAAAGTCCATGAACGTTTAGAGTTCTGCTGGCAGCATGAGGCAGCCCACAGCGCAGGTGGCAGTGATCCACCTTCTTCTTTAAGGAAATGCTTTCTGATCTTGTGAACTGCCTGGCTGTGGGTTGAACTGGCTTGTGAGGGCAGTGAGTGCTCACCGCCCAATCCTGATGGCACACCATCCCTGTTGGAAGAATCTACAGGGGACTCTTGTCTGCAGGGTAGGAAAGGAAATGAGTTTTGATTGGTGGCCTATGTGTCAGGCACTTTACTAACTTAATCCTCACCACGTGCCTGATCGGAGACACCATATTTCATTGATTCTAAGACACATTTCCCCACATCATTTAACATTTCTGAGATGGGAATGCAGATGTGCAACTACTGTCAGCCAGGTGGCAGAGTCAGCGGGTGGTGGGAAAACCCTTCATTGACACCTGCTGGTAAGATCAGTTCAATATAGGATCTATTGTAAAGACAAGGCCCCAGGGCTCTAAGTGTGAAGTACAAGGCCGCCTGACATTTTCACTGTGCCACATGGGGCACTAACCTGCTGGTTTCACACCCTTCCTGGATAAGCTACACCCAAATCACCTGTGAGGCTGGAAAACCATTGGATTGTGGAGTCTCCCATAGATACTCTAATTCTGTAGGTAGGGATGGGGTCTGGGAGTCTGATTGTTTTAAATTGCCCCGAGGATGCTGAATCCCCAGGCAGGCCAGGAGCCACTAGAATTGGTGACAGCTCGGCAGCCTCAGAGGTCAAATTTGGATGCGTTTCAGCACAGTGGCTTTGATCCCTAGTGTGCTGAAACATCTGGGTCACAGTGTTCTGCCAGGGCCTGGCCCCTGTGCTCCTCTCTGCCCTGGCCTTCAGGCCCCACAGTGAGGGTCCAGCTGGAAACTCCTCAGTCCAGGAGGAAAACTCAGCAGCCTCTCTTGACTTCCCTCTGGAGTGGCTGAGGGGCAGACTCACTGACTTCTGCTTCCTCTCCCCAGGGAAGGGTGATCTGATTGGCTGTGAGCTGCCCCGGCGTGAGCAGGTGGTCAAGGCCAATGCCGATGTGAAAGGACTGACATACTGTGTCCTGCAGTGTCTGCAGCTGGCTGGGCTGCACGAAAGCCTGGCATTGTACCCTGAGTTTGCCCCGCGCTTCAGCCAGGGCCTCCGAGGGGAGCTCAGCTACAACCTGGGTGCTGGCGGAGGCCCTACGGAGGTGAGGGTGCTGGGTATGTGCATGGAAGAGGCTGGAGTGCCAGGGAGCCTAGTGAGGTGGGCAGAGGCTAGGGTCTTTGGAGGTGCTGTGTGAGTACATGGCCTGGATGAGCACCCCTCACACAATAGGGGGTCTACACTCTCCCTGCCCCTTCACACTCACATTCTGTCCTTTAGAGCCCAGCTCAGCCATGCTCAGCCACCCTTCCCAGTTCTCCCTAGCCCATCTGAGACAGCCTGGCCTCCAGAACAAGGTCTTAGGGGAGGGCGGCCAAGTCCACTGGAACCAGAAAAGGAGACTAGGCCGAAGATGAGGGATGGCACCCACAGGGCAGGGTGGGCAGGGTGGGTAGGGCTACTCACAGCCTACCAGGCCACCTCTGAAGGAAGTCCTGCTGAGCTCTTCACAGTGAAATAAAACTGCTCTGAGGGGCTTTTGAATTTTCCTGACATGTCACAAATTCCAAACCAGTTTTTAGTACTGTGTTCTCTTGGGTAGTTCAGTTAGCCTAAGGTACCAAGCTACACTTGGCTAGAATTTTGAGGGGCTTAGTGATCTGGTGGCAGCAGAAAAGCAGCCCTTCCCTCCCCCAACTGAGCTCCTTCCTCAGCAGGGTGGGATATACTGGGCACCCTGTTTAACAGAAATGGCTCCTGTCTTCTAGGAGATGAGGCCAGGGTGGGGGAGATGAGTAGAGCGCAGTAAGGGCTTATCTATGCCAGTTCCCTGTCCCCCACTGTCCCCAGGCTGACACCAGTTCCCTGAGTGGCGACAACACCCTCATGTCCACACTGGAGGAAAAGGAGACAGATGGGGAGCAGGGCCCTGCAGCCTCACCAGCCCCAGCTGATGAACCCTCCAGCCCCCTGCTGTCCCCAGGCTGCACCTCCTCCTCCTCTGCCGCCAAGCTGCTATCCCCGCATAGAACCGCACCCCGGTCCCGTCTAGGTGGCAGAGGGCGGCCAGGGAAGACAGGAGCTTTGCAGGCTGAGGCTGGCCCCTCTGCACACCCTCGGAGTTTAGAGGGGCTGCAGCTGCCCCCCGTGTCATGGAATGTGCCGCCAGATCTGAGCCCCAGGTGAGCAGACCCTGGGCCGCTACTCTTTCACAGAGATGATGGTGCCCAGCCAGTCACACCCCTGCCCTGGGTACCCATCCTTCCATCCTAATCCCTCCCAGCCTCTTCCAGGAAGCCTTCCTTGACTCCTCCACCTTCCTGCTGCCCCCACCCCACCATTCATATAAATACTGCATGCTACTGGAGCTCCCATACCCCACCATTGAGAACTCAGCTTGGAACTTTCTTGCTGTTTCATGTCTCTCAATCTTGGATCCCCAGTGAAACTACAATCTCCTAGGGCAGGGGTAGGGAATGTGAAATCATTTGGTCTGGCCCTGCCAAGACAACTGCAGGAGGGACTCGAAATTCAATAAATTTAGGAGCTTTTTTCATAGGTAATTTTTAAGTTGATAATTTTGTATGGCCCACAAATGTTCTAAATATCCAAATGACTCTTGGCAGAAAAAGGTTCCCACTCTTGTCCCAGGGGAAGGGACCTCTCATGTTATCTTTCTTTTGGGGTCCCAAGCCCCCTGTCCCAGCTCCAGGGTCCTGCAGCTCCTATATGAAGACATTGGGGCATCTTGTCCCAGGAAACACTACAGTGGCTGCCTGTCGATTTATTGTCCTGGTGCCTGTGTCCACAGGGTAGTAGATGGCATTGAGGACGGCTGTGGCTCTGACCAGCCCAAATTCTCTTTCCGCATGGGACAGTCTGTCCCGGAATGTAGCAGCAGCCCCTCCCCTGGACCAGGTACTGGGGCCCGGTGACTGGGGGAGGTTGGCAGGGCAGTCCCTTTGCTCTGTGAACCTCTGAGAAACCAACAGGATGCAGATGTCGCCTGGAAACCCTTTTGCCCTCACTCACCTGCATGGTATGGGCAGGGAGTTTGGTGGTTAAGACCAGCACCTTGGTGTTGGAGGGTAGCTGCAGCTCCTATATGGGGGTTTGGATCTGTGCTGTCAGCTCTCTAGCAGTGTCACCTTGGTTCTCATCCCAGCTTCCAGTCTGTAAAATGGTTGTTGTGCATGTCAAGTAAGATAATGTTGCTAAGACTTACGCATGGTTTGGCTCACTGGGAGGATAGAGGGCTGAGGAGGCAAAGTTGAAAACGGGCCCAGCCATGCCACGCAGCCCTGGGAGTGGACCAGGTAATGAGCTCCCAGGAGTGTCCATGTCCCTGGAGGACAGAACAAGAGACAGGCACAGAAAGCAGCTTCCCCAGGTGGAAAGCACAGGGCAGTGTCCAAGGCCCCCCGGAAGCTTGGGCAGAATTCAGCAACTTGGGCAAGGCCTAAAGTGGCCCTTCCTGCCAGGCCAATGTGGTCTGTGTTAACTAGGGCAGAGGCCTGGACCCTGAGCTACCTCCTTTTATCAGCCCTGGCTAGTAACCTCACCTTACGGTCCACAGAGAACAGCTTGCTGACCGTCCCTCTCGGACCCAGTGAGGCAAGTAACACAGACACGCTGGACAAGCTTCGGCAGGCGGTGGGTCAGGGGCAAAGTGGAGGCAGGGTGGGGGGAGGGGCCCTGCTATTGTGTAAGGTCCTGACTCAACTCTGACCTCACCCTCTTCCCTCCCCAAAGGTGATGGAGCTGTCTGAGCAGGTGCTGCAGATGCGGGAGGGACTGCAGTCCCTGCGCCAGGCAGTGCAGCTCCTCCTGGCGCCCCATGGAGAGGGCCCCTGCCCTCAGGCATCCAGAGAGGGGCAATGCCCAGCCAGCACCTCTGGACTCCTGCAGCCTCTGTGTGTGGACACTGGGGCATCTTCCTACTGTCTGCAGCCCCCAGCTGACTCTGTCTTGAGTGGGACCTGGCCCCACCCTCGTCCAGGGCCCCCTCCTCTTGTGGCACCCTGGCCCTGGGGTCCCCCAGCATCTCAGAGCTCCCCCTGGCCTCAAACAACAGCTTTCTGGACCTCCACCTCTGACTCAGAGCTACCAGGCTCAGAACTCTGTCCTGAGCCTAGCACCCCTGGCTCACAGCCTCCTGAAGGGGCTAGGACTGGGCCCATGGAGCCTGTGAGCCAGGCTGAGGCTGCCAGCACTGGAGAGCCCCCACCAGGGTCAGGGGGCCTGGCCTTGCCTTGGGAACCCCACAGCCTGGAGATGGTGCTTATTGGCTGCCATGGCTCTGGCACGGTCCAGTGGACCCAGGAAGAAGGCACAGGGGTCTGACTGCCAGCACCAGAACTCAGTGTTGCCAGACATGCTGCCATCTGCTGCTTTGCCCAACCTCGAGGTAGAGGAGGGCGGCAGCCACCCCCAGAGACTCCAGGTTGCCTGCTGGCTCAGGGAAGGGAGCCTGAGAGCCAAGGAAGGCCTGGCCCTGGGATCTCATGGAGAGTAGGATGGAGCCTCAGGGACAGACCCCAGGCTAGTAATCTGGCCCTTCTTATGGGCCCCCTCCTCAGCCTGCTTTTCTGACCTCCTTGTCTCCCTCTGCAGGCTGGGGGACAGAGGCCTGAGGCCAAGGAGGGGTTCTGCCATCCCCTGCATGTGCCCCTGCCTCAGCTGTTCCCACATTTTTTATATTAAAAAGTAATAATAAAAGAAACTACTTTGGAACTCAGTGCTTTTTATTTACAAAAGAAAAATAATAAAGGAAAAGTCTGAAGCTAATCAGCTGGACACAGGGGTTAGGAATCGGGGGGGGGGAAGGGTGGTCTGCAGGGAGAAGGGGAAGGGCTGTGTCTAAGGAAGCTGCAGGGTCCCAGCCTCTAGGGGCTTCCTGAGGACCAGCCCCGTCCCCCGCAGAGGCTCAGATCAATGGGCTGTCAGTTTGGTCTCCCACTGCCTACTCTGGTTTTCCAGGAGCCTGAGTTCAGCTCCAGGGAGGCTGGAATGGCAGGTGAAACTGAGGCCAGAGAGCCCATGGGTCCTCCCATCACTCCTCACTGTGGCGTGATCTTGGCAGCCTCAGCCCGAATAAGAGCAATGAGGTCCTGGTTGATGAGGAAGACGAATCGCAGGCTGGCAATCTATGAGCAAGAGAGAAGGGAGGCTGAGGACAGAGATGGGACTGGGAGCCAAGCCCACATACTGGCTCACCACACCCCAGGGAGATCTCACTGTGGCCTCTACACCTTCCTCCCAGCTCACCTCCACCACAGAGTTGTTGCTGAGGCGCCATTTGGAGCCACACAGCACGGGTCGTCCATCAATGTAGATGGGCCGCCGACCCTCATTGGCAATAAAGAAGTCGCCATTGTTTTTCAGCTTGATAACACCTATGGAACAGAGAAGAAAAAGAGGATGTGATGGGGAAGGCCAGAAAAGAGCCCAAAGAACCCCCGTGTACCCTCTCTGACTCCTGGGGTGGGCTAGAAGGCACCCAGGACTCCCACGTTAGAGATCTTGAAATGTCAGCTCATCCGTGAGTTTCCACGGAGACCAAGCCCCAGGGCTGGAGAGGGCAGCAAGAAGCTGGGAGGGACATCCTCACACTGCTTCCTGCTGGTACCTTGCTTCCGAGAGATCTTCCAGGCTGGACCCTCCAGAGACAGGTCCACGTCAATCTGGTTATCCTTGGTGGCCCTCCCCAGGGTGATCTGGGGAAATGGGGCTGGTGAGGGCTGGCAGCTGAACATTGGGGGAGGAGTCCACACAGGCCAGGAAAGATGAGAAATCAGGGACCAGACACAGGAAGGACAGTGAGGGGAAGACTGACGGAGGAGGGAAACTTAGAAAGGGGGAAAGGGAATGGGACAGGGCTGGGCCTGCCTTACCTCTCTTGAGCGCATCAGGTACCGCACCATGCGGCCCCGCAGCACTGCCAGAGTCTGGTTGTCAAAGTCTGGAGAGCTCATGCCTGGGGGAGGAGCAGCTCTTATGGGGGACAGCCCACCCTTTAGGGCTATAGGGTGGAAGGCAGGGAGCAAGGGCAAGGTCTACAGAGGGAAAAGAGGGTGCACCCAACCAGGCAACCACAGGTGCCCAGGGTGGGGTGAAGAGAGTTGAAGTGTGCCCCCCCAGTCCCCTGGCCTCCTCACCTGTTATGCTATCTACTAGCACCTGCCACTTATGCAGTTCCTGTTCCAGCTGCCGAATCTCTCGCTTCTGACGCCGGTCAGCCACTGTCAGCTCTGGGGTGAGTTGAGGTGGTAAGGAGGGACATGCCAAAGTCACCAGTACCTTGTACTGGTCCTTTCTGTTCCAGCAGGAGCTTCTACCCCCTCACTGTCCCCACCGGGCACACTCACCATGTTCCAGGACCTCATCTCGCATGTCCCTAGGAAATGAGAAGAGAAGGATGAATGAAGTTCCACTTCCAGCTCACCTGCCATCACCATCAGGTGCTCCTTGGCTCATTAGGACCTCCCTCAGCCCCTTAGCTGAGTGGCGCAGCAGGCTGCTTCTCTGGCCTCCCCCTAGCCTCCTTCCCGAGGGTGGGGTGGGGGTGGGGGTAAGGCGCTCTGGGGATGTGCGGGGTTCAGGAAGAAAACCAGGTGCCAATAGCTACAGCAGGAGCTTAAGGCTGAAACTGGGCTGGATTCTCTTCTCTGCAGCAGGAGAGGTAGGGCTGGGTAACCCGGTGCCTGTGGGCCCAACCACTCACTTGAGCTTACTGTCATCAATCAGGTCTTCTGCATCAGAGAAGTTTAGCACTTGGTCCCCCTTAGGCAGCGGCTGCACTGAACAAAGGACGGAAGGAGGGTCAGCGCCGATGCTGCTACTCAACCTCAAGCTGCTGAGCAGAAAACTGAATTAAGGGGACACACTGTAAAGACTGAGACTGTGGGATCAGCTTTGTGCTGAAATGAATGGAAGTTAATCCAATACAGGTAACGGAGTGGAAGCCAGATTAGGCTGCTCACTAATTTGGCACAAAGCATGCCTGGGGTTAACGGAGGGCCGAGGTGGTTCAGCAAAGGGAAGGGAATTAAGTTTGACCTTTTATGTGCGCTTCTTGGTGTGTGAAGGGCTCTCACACAGCCTTGAACTAAGTAGGGAAGGCACTGATATTAGTTCCATTTTACAGATGAGGAAATGGACACAGGAGGGAAGGTTCAACTATGTGACTCTAGGACAGAGCCAAAATTCAAGCCCTGCTTTCCTGATTCCAAACCCCAAAATCCAAAGCACCACAATTTTCTGCACATTTTCTGCCACCCTCAGCGAGGGGCTAAGAGGCACATGCTCACTTAGAAAGGATGTGCTAACGGGAGCTACCCCACCTTAACCAGTGTTTTTCAAACTGTGGGTCATAATGTGTTAATGGGTCATGAAGTTAGCTTCATTTTTTCCAAAAATGAGATAGAAACAGGATAATTAATATCAGAGTTCATCAGATATGTTCAGGATAAATATTGTTTCATCAAAGTCTCCTAGTTTTTTTCTAGTCAAAATGTGAAAGGGACTGGGCTGTTCCCACGATTGCAAGTGTCTGCTCAGTAGCAGCTCCCACTAGTTAGTGGCTGTGAAACTGTTGGCTGAGGAGTTTGACAACACTGAGGTGTCCACACTGCCTACCAAATATTCCCTCCACCACCGCACCTGCCTCCTTAGGTCAGACTGTATGGGAAGACAGTTTTGGGATGGTCACTGCCACCAAGCGCCTCCCCCACCACAGCTGCCTGAAATCCCACCAACCTAATATTCCACTGACTTAACAGCTAAGGAGTGCACACTCCCTGTTCCTAGGGACTCCTAGCTCTAAATAGAAAAGAAAAAATCAAATACCCACATAAGAACTCTTGGAGATAAAAATTATACCTTTAACAAATAAATTTACACAAAATAACTTTCAAAATAGTGACAAAGGAGCTAGCCACAGTAGCAAAAATAAACTTTACCCAGTGTCCGTTCTCTCTGCGTGAATTCAGTGATATCTGAGCCCAAAAAGCAGCAGAGATTTGGATGCTGCAGGAATAAAGTAGGCTGCCTGCTAGGCACTAAATTCAGAGATCCTTAGAAAAGAAAGATAAGGCTTCTCCCTGACAAGATTTCCTAAAATCCTCTAGTAGGAACATCTTTAAAAAGCAGAGCTACAGGACCCAGAATGTAAAGTGAAGAGCATGGCCAAAACTTCCTTTTCCCAACGTGAAAAAAAAATGTAGAAGGCAACGGGGCAGTAACGTGTAAGAAGAAAGAACAGCTTGTGCTATATTATTAAAGTCTGACCCTGAATCTCAAATCTAACTGAAGTGTTTCCTGATCTGTCACTAGAAGAGTGAAAGTTTTGTTGGGAAGAGATGAAGCAGGGACTGTCCTGGCCCTTAGGACAGAAGGACAAATAGGGTGTGAAGTCCCAGTGGGGAGTTCTGAATGGCCTGAAGGCAGCCTGATAGCACTGACTATTGGGAGGAGAGGCAAGGAGAGGAGGGTGGAGAGGGAAGGGCATCATCTCTTGCGTGGGAAATGGGGAAGGGTGAGCAGTGAGGGGGATGTTCATATTTTGCTCATACTTGAATGTTATTCATGAAGGCTATATTAACATATTATTTACGTAATTATAAAATGCCAAAAAGCAAACAACCAGGAGTGATAGACAACTCTGCCATTTAGACATTTTGCCCAGGATTCCAGGCAATTCTGGCTACCTTTACCATGGAGCTGAAGACCATTCCAACTACTGTCCCCCTCTAGAAGGAAGTGGTTCTGCTACAAAGAGAAGTGAACCAGACACTGGGGGCCACTGAGGGATTTATTGTAGGGCACTTGAGGACAGCCGTGCCCAGAACACATCACACTCACACATGCATACCCACTTTGCCAGCTCCTGGGGCCAGTTACCTGTCTGGTCCTCCAGCAAGTAATACTGCTTCATGAGCTGCCAGTGGGCCTGCAGAGACTTGGCAGTACGGGCCAGGTAGAAGGCATCAGGGTGTCTGTGCAGCAGGTCCTGGAAGGTCTCCAAGGTGGGCTGGCTGGACTGGAGGGCAAGAAGCATGCTCTTGGCACTTAGGTTTTCTCACTCCTGCCTCTCCCTTACCACCCCAGCCTCACTGTCTTCCCATTCCCATTCCCACCAGCAGCTGGAAGAAGCAACAGCTATGGCTGCCCAGGGAGCCAGGCTTGGCTCTTCCCAAGTACCCCATCCACAAGGGTGTGGATCTGCATGGGCATGTTTCCAGGCAGTGGAGTCTCTCCACATCAGTTTTCCAGTTAGTCCAACTCCCACCTTGCCCAGCCCCTTCATCGACCTTACTAGCCCTCATCCTTACCGATCCCACTTTGCTTAGCAGCTGTTCCTCAGCCTTGCTAAACAGGGCCTTGCTCTGGATGGCGGCAATGGCCTCTGGGTGCAGCTGCCTCATGGCCTGGCAGGCGAGCCTAGGCAGGGAGGAGATAAGGTCAGGGCAGGGTTAAAGGGAAGATGTGAAGCAATCTTAGTTCCTATTTTCCCCAAAGCCTGCAGGTCTTTGAGATGCAGGACAAGAGGCCAGGCCCTCAATAGGAAGAGTCTAAGGCTTAGCATGGCACCTGTGGTCTCATGGGTTTGTCCAAAGCATGAACAGGCAACTCAGGAAATAAGTCCCTGTGTTCAACACTGTGAAGAGATTCAAAGGCAAAGGCCCCTAGAGGACAGTCCCAAGGAAGAGCCTAAGTCCAGCTGAGGCTCTCTCCCCAAGACCTTTGTCCTTGGTCAAAGCTGCCACCCATTAGCCACTGCCCAGCACTTCCTCCTTCCCACGCTGAGCTCTGCCCATTTCCTGGTGTATCAAAACCATGGCTAATGCTTAAGTGGTGCCAGGGGCTGTGGAGTAGAAGATAGGTATTAAGCATCCCACCAAATTTGGATGACGTTAAATGAAGTGACTGAGGAGGAAGAATGTGCGGTGCATGTGTGCACAGGTTTATTTGGAACTGGGGGTGCTGGAGCTGGAAGGAATTGTGAGAGGTCTGTGTGGAAAGGTTGGGAGGTGACTTACCTCAAACAACAATGCATACAGTGGTGGAACCAGGGCTCCTGGCACTCATAGGGGTGTTTTCTCCTATGCTACTTCCTTGGCTTCCAGATCCCCTTGCTTCTGGTATCAAGCCAAAGCTAGCAGGTTTGGCAACAGGAAGCTTCCCTGTGAAGCCCTCTGAAGCCAGGAGCCCTGCCTCCCAGACCCCCTCCTTGGACTCTTATATAATTGCTTGATCCAGGGGCCAAATTCTGGTACTTCTCCACTGCTGGAACCAGTCCCACTCACTTGGAGATGACAGGATCGTAGAGCAGGGCGTACCAGCGCTCCTGGACTTCCCGAAGAGTGAAGCGGCAGCTGAACTTCACACCCAGGTGGACGGATGTCAGGTCATTGGTCTGCAAGGCCCCAGAGAGGTTTGCTTCAGCCTTAGCGCTGGAAAGAAACCCTTCCCTTGCCACCCACAGGGCAATGCTGGACTAGTTGGGGGAAAACTGGAGGCTGGGGGGAAGAGGAACACGAAAACTGTGGTGGGAAGCACTACCTGTAACACAGCATTGATGAGCAGGAGGTCATCTGCAGGCTTCCAGCGGCCCAGATCCTTGGTCACCTGAAGTGGCTGTTTGCTCTTCTTCACACGCTTGGTGAGTCCAGGGGTGGGGGCTGGGCTGGGAGGCACAGGAGTGCTGGGGGCCTTGGATACCTGGGCAGAGGGCAGGAAAACAGTGAGCTAAAAGCCAGCATCAGGGCAGCTGGGTCGTCGGGCCTAGAGTTTTACACACCGTGTGAGAGCCTCAGCCCCACTCAACAATAATCAGCACTGCAGGGAGCTCAGTTTTCTAACACCCACTCCCACCAGAGCACTTCTACATAATCCTTGACCATATGGGGTCTTCTCTTTGCTGGTGGCACCCCCAACCCCAGAGTGGAGGGTGGGTGGAGAGGATACCAGGAAAATACTCTTGCTGGTTCAGTGTTTGGGGCCAGAGCAATGCCACCTGGGGGTTATTTTTACACCCAGCAATGCTGGGAACAGGCTGTCTGCTCCCAGAATAGATGCACGCTCCATGCCTCCCACACAGAATGTGATACAGGATGCACTGAAGGGTGGGGAGTGGAGCAAGAAGGAGGGAGAAGGAAGAGATAGGCTCCTAGGAGGGAGGCATTTGAGGCTGGGGCTGGAGCAGTTTGGTTCTCTCATAGCATCTTCTGAAGAATTCTTGCCAGTTGACAGGTTGTGGGGAAACTCTTGCCAGTTGACAGGTTGTGGGGAAACTCTTGCCAGATGACAGGTTGTGGCCCTGGACCCCATATTCTCCCCCCCCCCC